TACCTAACTTGTCAAATAATTGAGTTTTGAAGTTTTACATTTTTTATGTTAACAATAATAAAAAAAATACACTCGCCATCTAGCGTCCACTAGTATATGCAATATTTGTATTGAGTACAATAACGTCGGTTAGCAACAAGAGGAAGTTCTAAGAGGAAGCGAAGACTTTACTTGTTTTTAGTGATTTTTAATTAAAAATGTTCAACTCTAAAATCTGATATCTCGAAAACTAAGCTTAAACTGACATATGCCATAATGGAGAAAACTGTTTTTACTAAAACCAATAATTTCACAAGCGTATGTGGGAAATTTAAATCGTGCCTTACAGAGTAATAAAAACTTTGAATTCGGCCTTCGTAAATTTAATGTGCTAAATTATTAATTTGTAAAGGGTATTGTGAAATACAAATATTTCAAAGAAATTTGTAAAATCTGACAATAAAATTTATATTCAAATTAAAATTTGATACTATAATTATATAATTAAGTATAAGAATACGAAATTTAAATAAACATTAAAATATTCAAAAATATTCGTTTTTTTTATTTACAGTGAATCTAGTCTGCGCTAGAGAGCGCTGTGTAAAAATTATTTGCAAGATAATTGTTAAAACAAATGAACAAATTTATGTAAATGAAAAAAATATCACAAGCTATGTACAATAAAAAGTGTAAGTAAAATAATAAAATATTAAATCATTAATATCATTTTTATTCGATTGCTTTTGGGACATTCAAAACTTTCTCATTAGTGCCTTTAAATTGGCGATCAGCCATCAAAGTGTCCGATTTGTAATACTTAATAGTTGCTCTATTTCTGATTCTATTCTCAATAATATATTCAAAAATATTTTACCAACTAGCCTTTTAAAAACATTTACTGTTAAAAATATTCTCTAGATAAAAACATATATTAAAGCTAGTAAATTAATCAATAAAATTTCATTTATAGCGTCCATATTTTAGTTATAGGATTTTATATTTTATAATATGTTATGAGAAATAAATAACAGGATTATATAAAATATTAAAATAGATATAAATATAATAAATAACTTCTACGAAAGTTTTCACATAATAATAAAATTTATAGCCATTGTAAATAAATTTGTTACTAAGTAGGCTATGTTTACATTTATATGTTAAATATACAAAGTATAAAATTTATGTTTTAATCATTTAAAACAAATTAAAAACTTTTTATATTAAAAACACGTAACACATATTTACAGATTTTAAAATATATTTTTGCTTTTAACCGCTAGAGGTCAACTCCAACCAATCTGACATTTGTTAACGTCAAATTTTGTGTTCGAATCGAGTCTCGTTTTTCTGATATCGAAACTACGACAGCTCGGCCATCTTTCTTTTTCGTAAATCCTCACACAAGTGACAAGGTGAGATATAAAAATTATAAAATATTTGCTAAAATTTCGCAATATTGTGTATAAAACTGTGTATAGATAATGATTTTTCGATCGTAATCAAATATATAATAAAATATTTAGTATGTCTGTGGTACTTAAATAGTTAATTATAACAAACGGCATCACACGTGTTGTGCGCTGAAATGACATAAAATAGTGTTTAGTGAAATTTAAAAATAATTTATTTTAAATTTCAGTAAAGCAACATGCAACTGTTCGTACGTGGTTTGGAGAATATTGAGGCTCTTGAAGTCCAACAAGATGCCAACATTGCCGCAGTTAAGGTAAGTACGATTGAATGAAAAAGTGATAGCAACAAGGCGTTTATAGTCGCTTTGTAGCTAACCTCACATATAAATATTTTTTTAGTTAAAATTTTATTGATTGACGTATTCTATTTCGTTTAGGCTCAAATTGCCCAATTGCACGGCTACAATACTGAGGAATTCAATTTGAATTGTGAAGGTACTCTCTTGAACGATGACACCAGCGTATCTGCTCTTACCTCATATGAGTTGGATATCACCATTCCAATGTTGGGTGGTAAAGTTCACGGTTCTCTTGCTCGTGCCGGTAAAGTAAAGGGCCAAACACCAAAAGTTGAAAAGCAAGAAAAGAAAAAGAAGAAGACTGGCCGTGCTAAGCGAAGAATCCAATACAACCGTCGTTTCGTTAATTTCGTGCAAGGTTTCGGTCGTCGTCGTGGTCCCAACGCTAATGCTTCTTAAATATTTTTGTATTTAAATTTCCAGATGTTTGAAACATATTGAAAATAAAATAAGGATTTTCCACATTACAAATTAATGTCGCTTTGTATATTTTTAAAAAAGGATTTGGAATATTTGTGAACAATTTCAGTTGGTGATGATAGAGATAAAGCCAATATGATGATATAGATGTGTTTAAAAAATCGACGAAGTAAATAATATATTTTCATGCAGACGAATGTTTAGCATAACTTGATATTGTTTATAAGATTTATAAACATGTGTGTAATCAAAATCAAGTTAGAACTATTAATAATAATGATTGAAAAGTTAGTAATATAAGTACTTATAAGATTTGTTCGCAAATATTCTAACAAAAATACATATATGTAAATATATAATTATTTTATATATTATGCAGCTACGTGGAGTGGAACAGTAGTAGAGTAATAGTATAGAATGTTGCGGTCGGATTTATACGTTCTGCAGCCACTGGTTTCTTCAAAACACAATGTGCTGTTCGCCTTTCTCAACATGGATATCAACAAAAATAATAAGTCGTTATTTATAACGTTTTATTTTTATTAATTAGTTGAACCACAATATAGCTAGTATCCTTCTTCCAAGTTTGCTGCTTGGTTAAATCCATGGAATTATGATTGGTGGTCGAAAACTTTAAAACGTGTAATTGGTAAATACAACCTAATTTGCAGCTGACAACTGATTACTAAGTTTTTTTTTAATAATCGACTAATAAGAGTAAACAATCGAAACTACATAACATATTTCATTTTCATTATTTTTATTATTTTTTAAATTTATAAAGTGAAGGCATATATTATCTATTGACTATTCGTTCATGTTGTATTTGTTGTTCTTGAAGTCCGCGTAGAAAGTATTGAACGGTATTTCCTTGTCACACTGGACGAGTGGTTTCAGAACGTCTGGATCTGGCCATTGTTGATGCAACTATTCCTCCGTGGTTGAGTTTTATTGTTGTAATGTTTGTAATTATATATTATCAATTATTAATAAAGTACATATAAAGCAAATTAAAATATACTTTATTAGGAATGAATTGTCGTAATATCCAGTTTAATGCAGCTATGGAATACGTAAAAAGAATGAGCGAAAATAATATTTAAAATACCTATTTGAGATGATAGCGTAGGTAAATATTTTCTATTTGCAATGATTCTGCTTTTTAATTGAAACAAAAAACAAGTTATTAAGTATGACGATAACCTGGACTGTTGCGTCAATAACAAGGTTCTAATTGTTTACCAATTATTGATCAGACTTAACTATGAACAAAAGTCATTCCAAAATAAGACATCTACATAGAATTGTATGCTTACATTGGTTCTTGTAAGATTATTCACAGATTCATTGCTATCGATTCTAGCATGATAAGACTATCAGTGAAGCATTAGCTACTTTTGGTTTGATATTGGCTGAAGCGTGTTACAGCCATGCAACAGGAGTCTTGAGAAGAGTTTCCAATAAGATATTCGATATACTATTATTATAGATCAGTAAATAAATAGATGTACATAAATAGTATTACACATATATTATAGAAATATTTTTTTATTTGATATACATATATATATCAAACATTAATATATATCACATTATATATATATAACATTATATATATCAAACATACATATATCAAACATTTAAAATTAAGTTTAAAGCATTTCAAGAAAATTATATAAATAAATAGTAAATACTAAATTTATTTCTAATATATATTTATTTCTTATCGCACTTAATATAACAAAACTTTAAAATTGAGTTTAAAGTTTAACTATTGAATATTATATAAATAAAGAGGATATATTATATTTTCCATATATATATATTTTTTTATTGCATTTAATATAACAAAAATTTAAAATTGAGTTTAAAGTTTTACAATTGAAACTTATATAAATAAAAAGTTAAAGTTTAACTATTGAATATTATATAAATAAAGAGGATATATTATATTTTCAATATATATTTATTTTTTATTGCACTTAATATATCAAAAATTTAGTTTAAAGTTTTAAGATGGTAACTTTTATAAATAAAACGAATATATATTTATTTTTTTTGCACTTTTATCAAAAATTAAAAATTGAGTTTAAAGTTTTACAAATAAAATTTATATAAATAAAAATGATATATTATATATCCCATATTTATTTTTTATTGCTCTTAATAGATCAAAAATTTAAAATTGAGTATAAAGTTTTAAGATGGAAACTTATATAAATAAAAGGGACATATTATATTTCCAATATATATTTATTTTTTATTGCACTTAATATATCAAAAATGTTAAATTGAGTTTAAAGTTTTACTATTGAAAATTATATTAATAAATAATAAATATTATATTTGTTTACACAATAAAAGTTAAATTTTAATTGAAACTTTTTTGTTAGTAATTTTGCTCGATAAGTTTTCTTTAAACGTGGATCATCATATATATTTTATGTTGTAAAAATAGCTCTATTGTTTTCTCTGTCTACGACGTATAGTCGATAAAACCAATATTCAATAAACAAAATGAATATAGAAATTGCGAATCCTGAAAAAAAAAAAATTTTGCGTTTATATGATATATGTATATGTATTTATTTATAATAATACAATAAAAAATATAAATAAATAATAAATATAATTTAAATAATATAATTTAAAATGAATATAAATTAATACATATAAATGAATATATATAATAAATTTATTTATAACAAATGATATGAGATGTTTAATTTGGTAATTTTTTTTTTATAATGACGTACGGTTAGTGTAGCCAGACTTTTCAATTTTAGTAGAAGAGTTCTAAGGAAAGTATTTTAACAATTTAACATTGAAATTATTTTTTAAATAATCCAATCCAATGAGGTCTATCACTGATTTTATTTAGAAAATAGGAATACTGATATTACTACTAATAGAGGAAATCACATATTCTTGTACATTGTATTAATTATTTAGTATTTAAGATAACGTGGTAACGTGGAAAGAATAACTTCAATAACTTAACTTTTAAAATGAGATTTGTTTTAAATAGGGCTGAGATGAGAAACTAATATCGGGGGATTTTCAAGTCCTAGATCGACTATAACTTTGTTTATTTCTTGAGTCATGTACATGCATATATATACCTACATTTAGTTATGCGATTTATTTCGGGGGGTGGTGGGTGACTAGAGCATTTCAAGCGCATTGAAAACCTGCAGGATTAATGTAAAACAGTACTCTCGGAAGTAATTTGGAAAAAGTATATTATATATAGCTTTATGTAAATCATATATATAATCTTAAATTCAATAAGTAAGTATGTTCTTGTAGCCGGCAGGGATTTGCCTGTTGAATTGTGCTGAAAGGCATTTGGGCGTCGAACTCGAGGAGTGGCCCCAAATAAGTTTGTATGTTAGTATTTAATTTATTATAGAAGAGTACTAAAGAGTACCATAAAGAGTACAACAGGGTTTAGAAAGCAAATTACATACAATTACAATAAAAATTTTTAAAATCGAAGTCTTCAGAAGTCGAACCTTTTCTTTGCAAAAACTACTTCGTGGCATGGAAGTTAGATTGTATACTAATTCTTACAATACACTAGGTAATTAATTTATTGTTGATATTTGCACATCACGAACACGAACGACAGGATATAAATGCAATAGTACTGTAAATATAAAGATCGATACGAGTATTACTTTTTTAATAGATGATAGGATTGCGTTATAATTAAGCGCAATGCACTAATGTTGTTGCCACTGATTATTGATCACTAAGCAAATTTTACCACGCCAGTTATGGCGAACAAGTGCCTTTTACCACTCCAGCTGGGATGACACATCTCACAAGGTCCCAAAAATGGCTAGATCTAAATCCGGAGTTCGTTCAGAAATCAGTTCGATATTCAAGTCCACTTCAGCACACATAAAACGGACTACACAAGAGCCTTGTGAGATATAATAACAACAAAAACAACAACTACTACAACAAAAACAACAACTACTATTACAACAACGACAAAAACAACAACTAGAGCAACAAAAACAACAACCACAACAACACCTTCCACAGAAAACACGTTGAATAGAATGTTGACCAGTAATAATAGGCATTATCGTCCTTGATAACGTTATTAGGGATTTGTTATCTCATTTAAGCAAACTCAAAATATTGCAAAATTTTAGATGTGTTTAATATACATAAATATAAATAAATATTACAATGATTTTGTTAAAATATTCACCTAATAATAGTACGAGAAAGCATCCTTGCATATCATCTAAATTTACTTTGTGGTTGGTGATTTGTCGGAGTACACCTTTTCCGTTGCATTTCTCCATTGAAGGTAAATTCGTTTGGTGCCACCTCTCAATGAAACCCATTTGAAAAAGACGCGTTATTTTTTCATTGATCAAGTGCAGATACGGACTGTTGCTAGGCATAATTAAGCCGACTTGTTCATCCACAAAATTCTCTTTACCAAGTGCGAATTTACATTCTTTATCCTTGTCAAGATGATTTTGTACGATTAGTTGTAAATTGATGCGCCAATCAATATTAACCCTTAAGAAATAAAATCACTAAAAATAAAAATATAAATTTTTATCGAAAATAATATAACTACCTTTTACCACTTTTAACTGCATTAATGTCTTCATCTTGTGGATTACTGTAGATCTTTGCTCTAGCCATATATCTATTAAAATCAGTTCGCACAGAGGTCTGCATTAGAATCGAATTTAATAAAATAAAATCAAATTAAAAAATATTATTTTCAATTTAATGGATATTATTATTATTTTTAAACATGAACTAGACTAACATTGATAGATAACTTTAAAGAAGCATATAAATAGTTTATTAGTATGGAAAAGCTTTTTGGATTGTTAAATTTATTCAGATTGCCAACAGACTGCGGGGTGTGAAATCTCGTAGTGGTAGTCCAAATAAACTGATGTGGGCTCAAATTGCATATTTTTAATTTCTTTATATAAAACACACATTTTGAAAAAAACCATTCCGGTTAGAAGAGCATCAGAACCGGCTTGGTGACGTGGCCCGATACGATGTAAATCCAACTGATCTGCTAGTTCTTGTAGACCACCTCGCAAAGTGCTAATATTTTTCATCAGATATTTTATGTCGTAAATTGTGGGAAAATACAAACGTAAGGTCTCAAAAAATTGTCTCTCTTCCGCTGGCAGCGTTGTGTTTGTTAGTAATCTTATCAGATAGCCAAAATCGTAGCCGGAGTGAAAACTTACGAACTTCACATTTTTCATTAACACCACACCAGACATCATGAGCAGTTCCGCAAAATCCGTTGGATCTATGCCGTCTATCTCATGCTGTTTGAATTTAATACCGGCATTTTGTAGCAGTTCAATGGAGTTCACAGCGTACATATCACTACGAAGACTGAATTTAAAATTAAATTGCCAAGTGGAATAATCAGCTGGTTGCTTGCCGTTTTCGTCCATAAACGCAAAACCAATTTGTATAATGTTTAATAAATTTACATTGACCCGCAATTGTTGATAGTGAAAGTCGCCAGATCTGCCACCCAATGGTCGCGCAACAATTCCCGGAAACTCTGTATCCAACGCAATGACAGGATACGTTTGCACAACTTTACGTATTTTACGAAATTCATCTTCAAGGTTGTACCGCCAAACTTCTCGAATCAATGGACTTTTTTTATAATTTATAATTGGAATTTCCTTTGAATTAGCAAAACTGCTTGAAGAAAACTCTGACATCATAATACTGGCTAACTCCAAGAACTGCATTAAAGCTACCTCAAAAACATTTATATCATAACAAAGAAATCCTATGGTCAGAAGCAGTCATTTCAATATTTTGAACAAGTTTTAAAGTCACTGATTCGTGGCACAGTTTTACGAGTATTGCTTATATACAATATTCGTTTTCTTATTCTTCTTCCTTACCATATGCTTTCAAATTCGTTTCGTATACGTTTTAAGCGGCCTATAAATGCAAATACAAGCTCAATTTTTCACCCACCCACCGATTGTAATGTATTGTCAATACTTTGTTTTCAAATAGTTAAATTCTGTAAATACCTACTTTATCGATTTACTTGATTAATTAATATTACCATGTTTACATTTACAATTAACCAATTTCATTAGCACATATTTTTGTTTGGATTTGAAATGGATTTTGTAAAAAAATCTCATTGTATGACAATTATGTGCTAAATGATGGCGTTCATTGCGTTAATTGTGATTGCATAAATGAGTTGCAGGTCTATAAACAATAGTTAATAAATTGATAATACATTTCTTACAAACATATGTTTATTGTGGTCGGTAATTACATGTGCGAAAAGAATTTCAAGTTGAAAATTATCCATAATATAAATATATTTATATATTTAATAAATGGAGTAAGTTAGAAAAATTAACAACTGCAATTTATTTGATATAAGTATGTACTTATTAATTGATTTATAAAGCCGTTACTCTAAACTAACTTAATAATATTCAATAACATTACTTGCAGTGTGCTGCGAATCTACTAAATTCTGGCTATAACTATTTTAAAGTCAGTTATAACCATTTAATATAGTAATTAATATTAAACACTACCGTAAGTAAAC